GGGTTTAAAAAAATCTGTCCAAGGGATCCATCCCGTCCAATATGCCAAAGTAAAGTCCTTTGCATTTCCTTTAAGTTACCGACTATCCTTCCTTTGAAATCATTAGAAAACTTTGCTCTTTGGCTCAAGTTTTCCCCTTGACAATTTTAATTTTCCGCAAATATTTACATAACTAATTTTGTCTCTTCTAAGGACCGCCTACCACCTCCCAACCCCCAGCCCCCAACCCACTTGCCGCTCTAACACCTGTCCCTCACAAAAGTTTCAGTCCAGCAATAAATCAAAACTCAGCTAATTACGCAACAAAGAGCCAGCACTGAATGCCAGCTGAATGCTAATTAAAAAGGCAGAGAGGCTGAGGAAAGTTGCTTCAGGAGGGGTGGGGCAGAACACTGAAGGACTCTGACATTAGACGGGATATAAAGGGGGCTAGGGCCCCTCCTCAGGGACTCAGGGACTGCCTTTTGGCTGCTGAATGAATGAATGGAGCCAATACCGAATTTGGCCATTAACAATAATCCGAAATCCATAGAAATCTCTGTGGCCAATGAAACGCAATCGAATCGCAAATTTATGTGGCACCTAGAGCCAGGGGGGACGGAGGATTCTTGTCCTTCTGCTAGACGTAATTAATTCGATTATATTTCATTGATTTGGAGCCGGCCGGACCAAGGAGGAGAGTCCTGGACCCTGAGCAGGACTCATAGAAAATAAAATTTAATTGAAATGCCGTTCGCTTGCAACGTAAATCAACTTGGCCAACAAGGGGTCTGGTTGGTGAAGGGGAAGGGGTAGGGGTAGGCAGAGGGGAAGCGACGACAGCTCAGCTATAATGGTAAACAAAAAATCAACGTGACAGGAAAGAAAATTAGCAAAAGTTCTCGCTGCCAGTGTCCTGTCCTCCTTTTCGGCCTTAAGCTGCTTTTTACTGTTGTTGGGGGGAATGTTGGAGCGCTTAGGGGTGGAAGGGATGGAGTGTTGGGGCATGGCATCCCCCATGGGGCGCCACAGTCGCATTGCTTTCGGTGTCAAAGACATGGAGGGTTCCCCCACCGCTTTTCTGCTTTGCTTTGCTCTGGACATTGATTAATAATGTTTTTACATCTCGCTATATATATATATATCCTGTATATAGGATTTTCGCTGCTTTATCAAGAAATACGCACGACTGCCAGTTCCTGTTGTTGTTGCTTTCTGAGTAATATTATTTGCCGGCCGCTTTTTTAATGATACTCGAAAAAAATAAAATTGTTTGTGCCAACGAATGCGACAATACTGTTGAAATGAGAGGGGAAAAAAGGAGACTACTACTGATGGCTACACTCAAAGAAAAATGGCACACAAATATATAGTATAATTAAAGAGAATTTAAAAGTGAAACACTTGTGGGAATATTTTTAATCTGACCGTAAACATATTTAACCAAAATATATTTAATATCAAAATGTATGTACTTTCCCTTTACAATTTCCACTCTCGGAGAAAAGCTTTTACATTTTAAAATCAAAGTGTAAATATTAAGATTTGACTACTTTTTTCTGTGAGTGTACCTTTAAGCTCTCTCCAACGCCTTTACTTTCTTTTCATAATTTCCATTAATTTGTCACTCACATAAATCATGCAAAATCCCATTCGAACAATCAAAGGGCAGGCTGCTGGCTGTGTGTTGGGCATTTTTGTCTATTAATTATGTGCGTGGTCAAATTAAAAGATGCGGCCAGACACATACACACACACACACAGACAGACACGCAGATGCAGAGAGATATATCCAGCCTGATTTCATTATAATCAATGAGTGCATTAGAGCCAAAGAACCGTGCAGGGCAAAACGTCTCCGTCTCCGTGTGCAAATGGCTAATTAATAGGCAAATTCCAAGAGCAAATTGTCCCAATAATTAGGCATGCACAAGTGCATCCTCCCGACCCCTTGCTGGGGGCTTACTTGCTGCTCCTGTGACCATCATCAACCCACCTTCATTTGCATTAATTGCCGTTAAGTCGTTGCGACCGACTGGCGGCTATTTAAGGGTTGGGTTCGATGGGTTCTCCGCCTCCGCCTCCGACTCTGTTTCTGTGTCTATGTTTTGTGCGGGGGGGGTTACTGGACTCTTGGCCAGATGGCTTGTACTTGCATTTAGTGCAAATTTGTCGCTCTTCCCACTGCGTCTGTCCTGGCCGTCCTATCCACGTCCATAAACAGCAATCGCCCCAGCTGAAGCTTGGACCAGGACTCTCGGGCCTGCACTTGGGTTATTAATAGGCCTTTGGGCGTTATTGGAAATATTAACAGACTTGTTTTGGTCTCTTGGTCTCTCTCCATCCGCTTGTAATTGATATTAAACTGATGTGAGTGAAGGCCTAATGGGGGCGCAGACGGAAAGAGAATACGAATTATGAAGCGGAAAGTGCACATGTGTATGGATGGGACTTGCAGGCTTCTCCTTCTTGCTTTCAACTGCACCGCTGGCAGTTTCTACTAATCATCGAATGCTACTATTGATGGATGAGTATCGACAAAAGCGCCTATATCGCATATATTCATTGGGATCAAGCCCTGAATTTTAAGAATTTATACTTAGATTTGAAACGGTATTAGAATAGAATGGAAAATGTAAAAATAAGTGTGTTTACTTACAATTTGACTGACTTAAATATTAATATTAAAATATATCAATATTAAATTAAATATTTTCATATTTTATATATTTATATGTTTTAATCAAAGTAAATTCCATTTTATTTCATTATTAAAAGCTGTTTTAATGTTGGGTGTACTTCTTTTTACTATGTCAACCAATCCGTTCTATTTGATCATTTGAAGCCTCTCAAAATGAGTTTCACTTCTAAATTCTTAATTGATTTCCTGTCTTCGAAACGCTCCATCAAACATATCCGTTGCTATGTCTACATCAACCCACTCGACACTCGACACTGGACAGCCGACAAATGTTTCATAAATACTCGTACTCCAGAGAGCTATTAACTCTTATGGATGCTCTAAAAAAGCTGAGACCAGCAGACAGCCCACAAACTAATGAGCTATGACATAAAAAAAAGGTTTAACAAACAAACTTCAGGCTCTCCGAACTCTAATGAGAGATGCCAAAAAAAAAAAAAACGACAAAACTGGGAGAAGTTGAAGATGATGAAGAAGTCGCTTTAATGACAAAACCTCGACAAAACCTCAGTCCAATCCCTCATTCCCCCCCTCACAGCTCTTGCTTCAGCTGCTGCAACGAATTTGATAGATCTATTTGTAGTTCTCTAGATGTACCGACTCCCTCCCTCCCATCGCCAGCCCCGAGCAGCCTGTTAAATGCGACAACTTAAAATCCCATTTGATGCACTCTTTTATGGCGGGCAGGGACAGGGACCCGCAGAAGTTGGAGTCGAGTCTAGCTGCTGCTGTTGCTGCTTCAATCTCCATAAACTTGACGAAAAATCCCCCGCCGAAAAATGGAAAATTATGTTCCATTAATGGAGCGAATGTTTCCTTTTATGGCGGGGTCTTATACATAGCATGTAAACTACTTAAGCGTCTCGGACTGGCAACATGTGTGGAGGGGAGCTGTATGCTGCCCCCCGAGAGCCTTGAGGGCATGGCCACGACAGGCACAGGACACAGACACAGGCGAACTCGACTGCGCCCTGTTCTCATTATGTTGCATGTGACACTGTTAATGATTATATGAATGTGAAGCAGTGTACCCGACCCCTTGAACACTGCTCTTGGCACTCATACACCCACCCACCCAACATCCATCCATCCATCCATTCATGCCTCCCATATACAGTTGTTCGTTCATTTCCTGAGCGCTGCTCTGACTTCCCTTTTCCCTTTTCGCTTCGGGGAAACTCCCCGCGTGACTTGAAAATCTTTGTAACAAATGTTTTGGTTCCCACTTGGTGGAAGTCCCTGATCTGACGCTCCCCTTTTGTCATTCCCGAGTCTAGTTGAATGTTTCATTATAAATACATAAAAATCAACAAGGAAGCCTTCTGCTTTTTTACAGGGTACCTCCAAAGAGTACACTCTCTACGCAGAAAGAAGACACAAATATTACATACAGTATAGGGCGTATTTAGTGGGTATCTTATAGTCGTAATACTCTTTAAAGGCCTACACCATGGACTTGTTTCTGTTTTTCTGCTGCCTTCAGGGACCGGGAACGATGAAAACATGTATTTGTCGTTTGTTTATTGCATGGAAACTTCAATGACGAGAGTGTGACTGTGTTCCCTGCCTCCCTCTTCCCTTCTATTTATCAGGAGACACAAAACAAGTTGAAAAAAAACTAAACTAATTGCCAGTTTGTCTCTCTCGCCCACCAACCTGAAGCGGTGGAAGAACACAAAGAAATACAAGTCGGTTGTCGATGTCTTGAGTGAGTAAACCACATCGCCAGCAACCAAATAAACCCCATTCTGTGGGAAAAACTGAGCTTACTGTTGGTTAAGTTACCCCCGTATCTTGATTGGTTTTTAATTTAGTGTTTTAAAGGGGGGTATACAGTTAACTTTTAATTCCCATGTTCAGGTTGCCGATGATTGGCCAACTAATTGCTGGGGTAGCACTTCCATATAGCCTGAATATATCATGGATGGTCTACTACTGTATGATTGATTCTCCGTCTTTCTGTGTCTCGGCTACTATCAATCGGGAAGTGGAACATGAAGAGGTCTGACCTATGCATAATTAAATTTAAAATTCGCATGAATTTCCACTATTGTCTTTGGGAAGCTCTTTCAGGAGACTTGATCGGGAACAAAATAATCAAATAACCATCAAAACATTGGATTTAATGTACAAATTTAACTTATTTAGCAGGGAAGCTTGAATCAATTCTTTAGCGTTTTGAAGAGGCCCTCCTTAAATTCACCCGCGTTCCCATGTGCGTTGCCAACGTCAAAAGAAATTAAAATCGTCAACGCACATCGACCCACAGCCAGCCACATCGATGATGATGAATTTATGCGAAAATTTAATTATTCCACAGACAAACAGAGCAGACGCCGAACCAAGGAAAAAATCCAACGAAAAAGCGAAAAAATATCGATGAAAAATTAATGTCGATTGGGAGGCGATACCAATAAATCAATGCACAAACAAAAAGGAGAGACAGGGGAGGCAGAAGCGTAACCACAAAGTTTAATGAAGAATGATAAAAAAGGAAAAGTAAATGACGTTAAATGAAAAAAATATTAAAAGTGGCAAGAGGCTAAATATGGCCAAGTGATTTAAAGGGTAATGAAGAGGCTGGCAGGAGGGGGTGTGCCAGTAAAGGACGGGGCTTGGCCAATTAGTCTTTCGACTCGTGTTGACAAGAAATTAACAAATTCCGAGGGTGGTGCGGGGGCGGAGAGATCTATCTTTTTCTGGCCTGGGTCTCGTTTTTTTTCTTCTCATATTTTTCAGTAATTCAATATGTTTAAACGTTGGCCACAGGCTGTAGCAGCAGTGTCCCGCTCTTCCCTTGCTCCCACCACCCTGTTTGTTTGATTGGCACACAAAGAACGTAGCGAGTGGAGTCGTGAAGGAGAAGGTCCTCGCTCAAGGCACTTGCTACTTTCCTCGTACTTTCCAGCGATGACACTTGAAACTTGTGAGGGCAAACGGAGGAGGATATCGGTAAGGATGGATAAAGAAGAAGGGGAGCAGAGGAGAGGAGAGGATGATGCCACAGCATCGTCAGCTTTTAATGTTTGAACTTTTTATTACGCAGGAGGCGGACAGGGCACACCCCCCACTGATTGGCAGGGGGATGGTGACCCCGATGCTTGTCATATGACACCAATAAATCGCTTCAATTGCGCTCTGAGTGACGCCGTTACCTGGCCACTTCAGGCTCCCAGCATCAGCATCAGCATCAGCCTCACCTTCAGCTCCCAGTTCAACGTTCAATGTCAGAGTAATGAAAAAATGCCAATACCAAAATGAATGTGTAAATGAAATGAGTACAAAGAGGACACAGCACACACAATCCCCTCCCCCTCTCTCTCTCACTCACTCTCTCTCACTCACTCTACTCTCTGTCTCTCTGTCTGTGTCTGAGCTCCATTGGAGCGTAAGTAATCCTTTCAATTTAAACAGATCCAACACCGAGAAACCCACACGGCACGGAACAGAACGTAACGGAACGGCACAGGTGAATAATTGGCTTCTATGCTTTGGAAAATTACCGTAAAATTAGCTGGCAAAAAAGCTGAAACACAACCGGGTTTTTTCTGGTCAGGAGAAAGGGGAAGCGATACTAAAACAGCCATGGAGAAGGCCCAGGCCCCCCCAAACAAAATTAAAGGATAATGAGGGAGCTCGCATTAGGTTTCCACTGTTTTGTTTCGCAATCCGAAGACGCAACTTTAAGGCCTAAATAAAGGCCATGAATATATATCTTCAAGTCCCTATTATTCTTTGAATTTTGAAGAACTTGTGGAGGTCGTACAAAGAGGTACTTGTCGATCTCAAGCAGACAGCTAGCAGAAGCGTACATTTTAAATAATAATAATAAAATAAAGTATAATATAAGAATATTTAATTAAGTGTGAAATTTAATTATTTAAAAAATGAAAATAATTTATTTAAACAGGAAAATATATACTTTAGATATGAAATGTCAGTAAGCTCACAATTTCCATTTCTTCTCTGGGTATAAATATTATTATAATTACTCTATGTGCAGGAATTTCGATTAATAAGTTCAAATAGATAATTGCGGGTTTTGGGGCTTATTAATTTCTTTTCAATAAAGTAATGTTCAAGGAAAGGGAAGTTTTCTCTGATATATGTAACGTTTGCTCATGGAATGCATAAAAAAAGGTCTCCGTTCACTGTCAGATTTGGTTCTTCCCTCAAGCAACCCTCAACTGTTTGTTTTTGTCCAAGCCAATATCAGTTTTAGCCTGACTAAACTCGACTTGTTTACTGCTCCCATCCGAACGATGTCAGAGCCCCAAAAAGTCAGGCGACAGCTGCTGATGCTTTTGTTAGCGGAGAGAAAAACAACAAAAAAAAGAAGGAGAAAAGTTCGAGTTTGTCACCTGGCGCGTGCACTCAAGCAGGATAACCAAGCGGAGCAACAGCTGCTGTCCACACCAGTCTCCCGGTTGCCAAATACCGAATCCCAACAGCTCCTTGGGGCCATGTGTTGCTCACTCGCCCTCGACATGTGCGCATTCAAATGGAAGCTGTGAAGTTGCGGAGGATGGCTCTGCTCTGTAGCTCCTGCTACTGCTGCTGCTTCTCCTTTAAACAAATGGCATTTTGGCCAGCAGCTTCTTTGGGGTTTCATATATCACTACCAAGAAAAAAAAAAAAAAAAGGAAGAAATAGAAGAGAGTTGGGAGCCAGCATTAAGTACTTTGGACAGTCGTGTTGGAATCGTTGATGAAGGCCAGTGCAGAGAAAGCACACGCACACCCATACACACATGTGGAGGGAACACTTGTATAAATTGGCTCATTATGAAACTCATCCATAATCTATGAAGGCTCTGGGCCATCAACCATATGAAGAACCCACACAATTCAACATTCGCTGCCAAAAAGCAGCCCAACGGAGAGTGGATAGATTGAGGTGGGGCAACCCTACCATTTGCGACACGTGTTTAACTCGTTTTTCACAAAAAATAAACGAAACGAAACGAAGGGGAAAGACTTTCGCCCTGCCCGTAAAACAATTCACTTTATGCGCTCGAATTTAGCCATTTGCCACCATTGAAGCGTTAACTGGACATCGGCCGAGAAGCATTTGGAATCCCATCGTAATGGCCTCGGCCTCAGCCTCGGCCCGGGCATATATACATTTTAAGCAGGCTTCACATTTCGGCTGTATCCTCTTTTTCGGGCATTATTTAGTAAATTAAATGTGCATTCAATGAATTTCAAGCGAATGCGGCAAAAAAATGACTTCTGAGGGTGCCAACTTTTGATGGAAGTGGCAGATAATGATGAAGAAGGATGAAAGGATCCAATCAATTTAGCTATGGCAAAAGGCAAAGATTATGTGAGCAAATAAGGCTAAAACTCTGCAAATATTTAATCTTTGATTAGCTTATTCTTACTCCCCAGCCAAATCATTATATATTTCTTTGATCTATTTAAGTTACCGATAAATTAATTTTTGCTATTAGGGAAATTATGTAAAAGGATAATTACACCTCTTGCTGGTAAAGCCAAAAAAGTAATTAAATATTATAAAAAAAAAAATTCAAAACTTTAAATAATGTAAGAAATGGTAGAAAACATAAACCTTATTCTTGATGTACCTGCAGGTATAGAAGTTGTGTAAAAAATCCAAAATCATATGAAAGGTCATACCTTTATAGGGGGATTTGGTGGTCTAACGATAGAGGCACAAGTTCCATAGGTAAAACTCTTCCCATCTAGTTCAGTTTCAGATTCAAGCTTTCCCTTCTTTCAATTTCGATCAATTTTTCGCTCGCATCCTGTTTCGCTTTGACCTCATTTCCTGCCACCATAATTTATCCCGAAACCATCTGCTCAATAAAAAAAACGGAAAATGAAAACAAAAAATCCAAAACAGCAGAAAATTGTTTCCAGCATTATTCCGACTTAATGCAAAACAGCTGACCGCACAGCGCACACCAACACCCACCTGTCAGGTGGAATATTTCTAATTTTTCAATGTCCAGGAAGGATTTTCCACCAGGTTGCCTGTTCCTGTTCATCCTTGACCTGTCTCAACTAATATCTTATGTAATGGCAGACAGCAACGTTTTTATGCATATCGACAGAGGAGCTGCTTGCTGGAGAAGCTCCTGCGCTGATATTTCACAGACAGCTGGTGGAGGACGAGTATAGTTGGGGAGGGGGGGAGAAACTGTTTTTTAATATGAATTGAAAGGGGGCCCAAGTAGCCGTAAAGGCAGATCCGACCGAAAACTTTGACTGGCTCTTCTAATTGTACAACTTCCGCCGAAACTCTGGCTCTCTCTTTTGGCCGAAAGCGTGCGGCTAATGCTGCACCTTAAGTGCATGCAGCACCCCATGCACAGCCCTAAGAACTATGCTGCACCCACCCACCACCCCACAGACAGCTTGTCTTAATGCCTTCCACTCTTTTTTCGGGGGCACTTCATTTCAGTGTGGAGAGTGCAAAAGGCGTTGCCGCATAATAAATGGACAATTTGCCAGTTGAAGCGTGCAAAAGCCCGCAAGGATGTAGGACCCAAGCCACACCCTCGCCCTGCCCCTGGTACCATCCCCCCACCTTGATGCGGTTATAGATTACTTTTGGGGCCAGAGAACTTCAAACCTCTCCAACCCCTAATAGGGGCCCAACCCTTAGCTAGCCATAAAATTATTTTCTGCAACAATTTCTTGAGCAGTTCCTCCTCTTCATCTCCCTTGAGCCAGCCCGAGGGCATTTTAATTTTTGATCTCGTAAATTCTCACAAGAGATAATAATAATACGATGCGTTTCACCTGAGATGCGGAAGGGGGAAGGCGGAGGCTAGAGTAGAGGCAGGGAGCACCTCAAACTTCAGTTTCTTGCCATTTTGTATTGACTTATGGCTCTGGACCATAAAAGGCCACAACTTGAGCAATTATTAAAGTTGAGCCAAGTTGAGCCAACCCTGTCCACCCACCACACAGCGAGCCCAACCCTTCGCCCCTCCACCCCCTTTGGCAACCACTAAATCATCTCTTTGATAAGCAATTTGATTTATTTTCTGAAAACAATTTTTTTTTTCCGTGTTGTTGGCCAAACTATTTCAGTGCAAAATGAAACAAAAATAAAGCCAAGCATGGAAATATTTGAGCTTAGGTATTTTTTGGCCAGCTAAAAACTTGGGAGCCCCCAACCGCCCTTTGGTTAGGTAAAATGGTATTAACATATTTTAAAAGCAAATTGTTGCTGTAGCTGTCGCTGCTGTTGTTGTGGCATGCCAAGCATAAAGTGTAAATAGCTTGCAGCTAAATATTTATCCACAATTTTTGGGTTCATATTCCACATTTTTTACTCACTCTAGATCGGTGCCCGGCCGAAACA